GGAGTGTCCCTCCCCTGCCCTGCTCCTAGCATTCCGAGGGGACATTAAAACTTCAGTCAGCGCATGTGGCTCTCTGCGAGCCAGTCTCTGATCACCTCCTGCCCTCTCAGCCAGGGCGCCTGCAGTAGCCGCGGTCCCCTGGCCTGGCCCTCTACCTCCGTCACCACGCTGCCTGCTCGGGACACTCAAGGAGTGCCAATCCTTCAGGGCTGCTATGACCACCGTCCTGTCTGACATGACACCCTGCCCCACTGCCCCCTGTCCCCTTCTGCATTTCTCCTCTCATAGTCACCTTATCCTTGGGGACTGGCTGTCCCCTCGGCTATGGACTGCAGCTGTGTGAGGGCAGGTTGGTGCCTCCCTCCACACAGCACCCAGGACAGTGCCTGCCACCCACCATCAAGGAACAAGTGACACAAAGAATGTGGCTAGAACCCTGAGATGGCCTGAGAGTTGTGTGTGAAACCCACGTCTTTCAGTCATAGAAACAGGGCCTTCAAGAAGGTTCCCAGAACACGAACTACCTGTTCCCATCCAAAGTACTTAAGACGATCAGAAATAATTTGCATGAGCTTCCCCTGGCACTTTTTAAATGAAATAAGAGTTAGATTCCAAATATCTTCATAAATCTGTGTAGGTACAAACAGAGACAACACTCTTTAGCGCTATGGACAAGCAGTCCACGAAAAGGCTCTGCCAGAATTACTCGACCCGGAAAAACTATCACATCGCAGCCAAAAATTCTAAGTGCTCAGAACCTGAGGTGGATGTGAGTCACCTCCAGCCTGAGTCAGCACCACTCAGGACACACCAAGGACAGGTACTAGGACACGCGGAGGAAACTCAGGGAAGCGTACGGAACCCAAAACAAAATGGCACACGTAGCCAGAACCACCCACTCGCACCACCCGTGCTTCTCGACATGGGGCACTGATAAATACACGCGTGTGCGACTGCAGGATTTGCACACACACTTGTGCCTCGTTTAACCCCTTTGGAAGCTGTGTACAGCATACACCACATTCCATTAATCCCATGGGTTCAGTTCTCACCTATCCTTTTTTGCTGCCTGTATCAAGTCCCAGGCTAATGGAATTGTTTGGGCATTTCCAAGGAGAGAGCCCAGCCAGATGCATCCAAATGGCATTTGTAAAAGCGATGTTGGTTTAATGTAACCCAGATAAACAGTACCTGTCAGCAAACTGATAACAGCGGCTCTGACCACACCTCTGGAGTCCGTCCTCCAGGAGAACCAGCGCTTTTGCTCAGGCTTAGGCCGAGAAGCAACATAAAAAGACGACACTGCTACCAGGATTTTCATTTGCTAGTACTGGCCGAACGCCTGCTCTGCTGAGCATTTTGCAAACACCTCACAACCCCGGCCTCAGCGCTGGGACGGCCACCGCCTTACAGCGCAGGGAACTGAGTCCTGGGGAAGCTGGCGGCCCGGGGTCACACGGCTGGAAGGTGGACACCGGGTCTGGGCTCCAGCACCGCTTGTAACGTGACTCCCGAAAACGCCGTGGCCTGAGCCGTACTGGGTGAGCGTGCGCCAGTCACTGCTGCGTGGGTCTGCTGGTGGGCAGAGGCCTGGGGTTTCAGCAACATTAATGCTGTTCTGAAAATGGGGCTTTGACCTTGCCTTCTGCTTCTGAGAAAGGAAACAGGATCTATCTGATTACTGTGCACCTTCGCACCTGCCTCAGGAGTACAAGGTCAAGACCAACAACCAGGACACTTTAAGAACTGTTAACCTCTAGTGTCGCATCCAGGATCAGGTCCAGTAAAGGACAAGCGATACCTTCATTATGATGTCACTGCAGTGGAACCAGGACATTTTCTATGTGGGGAGATTTCGGAACCTGATGATGCTTTTATTGGATTGTACCTGGCTATAAATTTTTAATGAAAAGGTCATAGAGTCTATATTTAATGTCTGGATGTTAACCTCGTTTGTAACATTGTCCAATTACAAACAATTACTAAATAAATTAGAGAAGCAAAAGTATATGTGAGTTTCAGAAATAGGGAGCAAAGGCTAAGATTTATTCTCTTTTCTGGATGTATAAGAGATAATAAGATAAATAATTTACTAGCGTAATCTTTTAAAGAAAATAAAAAAGCTTGAAGTTTTTTATTAAAGAATATTGTCTTGTGCCAAATTTATGAATTTTTCCCATATCCGTTAATTGATCAGAAATCAAATGGTATTTTTGGATTACATTTCAACATTCTCATGGTAGTTATGGGTCAATTTTAGAAAGAAAAAGGTTTCATCCAAATTCCAGTTTAAGGAATCTTGGCACACCAACCAACACATGCGATATTTTGGGGCCGCTGGTGTAGCCAAGATTGCCCTTCATTGAGAAAAGAAACGGTACAGCAAGTCCTGGTTTCTAGGTTACATGTCCTAACGCTCCCCAGAAACCACCTCCCGGGGAAGCAGAGGGCGGCCTCCCACGTGCCACTGGCTGTGAGCTTCGGCGTCTACAGAAATAGCAACACTTCCGCCGAGGGGGCCTCTCTCCCTCCTGTGTTTGGAAATTATTTTCTGCTCTATAATTTATTTGAGTTCTGGTCGTCGTCCTGGTGATGATGCTCTCCGACTTCAAAGCTTCTTTAACCACCTGTGATGCTAACCCCAGGACGACCGAGGTCTTTTTATATTATCAATGGTAGCTGAAAGGTCAGGTTTGAGCTCCAAGATAAAGGGTGTCACCGCTGTACAATTTGAAGGGCAGGTCCAACCATCTCAGGAAGATGTTGTACAGTAGGAAGGGCTTGTACACAGGGACAGACAGAACCAGAGGCCCTGGGGACCTCCCTCAACCTCTGCTGGGCTCAGTTTCTGCATTGGTAAAGCCCGGCGAACGCCCTCATCACAGCTCTGGTCTCCGCTGATTGACGAAACATCACACGTGAAGCCCCCAGAGAAAAGCCCTGTACATCGTAGCTAATTAGCTAACACTAGTCACTTTATGTCCCTAATCTCTATTTAATGTACATTCTTGAATAGCAATAATAAAAAGCCGACAGCAGGCAGCACTTACTGTACACCTGGGAAACCCAGGTGATTGAGGAGCGTCAATCCATATTTTAAGGGGAGGTCAATTCTAATTTTTCTGACTTGGTGAATTACATGTAGTAATCACAGTTAGCACATGTACAACTTAGAAAACCCTTTCATATGTCATGACAATTTACAGTGCAACCCAGTGATGTAGGATTGAATGTAGTATTATTACTTTGTGTGAGATATTAGAAAAATGCCACTTTCTGAACTGAAATCACTTGATGAAAGTGGAGACAGAACTTAAACTTGAACCTTCAGTCTCTAAATTGTGTGTGGTTTCATGACATCATGTTGCCTTCTCACAAAAATAAATGTTCTCCCCTTTTATAGGAACATTGGCCACTACAAGAAAGCATGTCAGGCTCCTTGAAGCTTTCTGAGGTGAATCAAGGAGTTAGGTTGGTCTACAAAGCAGACAGAATTGAATATTTACTGCGGAGAGATTACTTTTCTAAAAGCACCCTAAGCTCTGTCATACAACTACAATAAATGTCATGTTATACTTTGGGGTGAGGTCGACTTGGTATGACCAAGGTTTTCCCTAGGTTCCCTTTCGGCATTATTTATAATTTCACCCAAATGAACTGACAGGTTCATTGCCTAGTCTCTAGATATTGCAAATTTAGAAAGTTAATAAATTGATATTAAAATTGGGGGAATGTTTTTAATATAATTTTTAAAAATCTAAGATAACATATTAAAATTATAAACTGTTTCATATTCAGTCTCAAAGGCATTTCTGGAAGAAGCTCATACCTCCACACAGGACTTTGGATACTCTCGGTCTAGTAAAGTAACTGATATACCTAAAGTTCAAATCATTTGTTCAAAGGAACACTAAAAACATATCAAATAAAAAGATTGATAATGGGAAATGAGACGGATAAACAACGTAGATGCAGAATACGAAGATCTTGTATATTTATAGGGATAAAGGAATTTGCCCTTTTCCAGGTCAGTGACAAGAACTAGGTTAAGATCTGGATTTTGTCTCATCTACAAGCTGAAAAGCCCAACTGCGATTGTTTCACGATGCTGGTGGAGACACGAGTCTCCTGGGTCAGAGACAAAGGACTTCATATTCACAGCAAAAGCAGCGGCTGAGTGGCAACATGTTGCTTGCACATCCCGTGCCCCCCCATAGACACACACCCATGGGACCAGCGGTGGGTGCCTGTGCAAGTCGCGGGTTATGTCACAGAAGAATGCCTCTCGTTCACTTAGAATTAGCCAGGAGTTTCACTTCTGGCTCAGCTCTGTCAAGCGCGTGCACACGCACGAGCACATCACCAACACTTAGCACTAAAGTGGATACTGGAGACCACTAGAAACTTAAATTCAAGACATAAACATCTTAGTCTAAAACAGCACAAAACTCTCAACATCCCTGGGACCAAATAATATTAGAAATGTGTATTTTTGTCTAAAGCCTTATCAAGTTGATGTGATGAATGAATAATTCAAATACTACATTTCGGTCAATAGTTTCAACCTCTTCTCACTGTAATTCATATTTTATAACGAATTAGGGGGGAAAGGGGGAATTTTTTTATATCCTCTTATTTCTCGCTTCCAAACTATAACAATCAGTTGCCATGAGTTAAACTCACAAGGCAGAGAAGAAACGAAGCAAGAGTCTGGGTAACTAGCGATGCTGAGATGTGAAACACCATTCTGGGTTAAAGTCCCGCCGAGGGTGGCCCAGGTCCTCACGACAGCACTGACACCCACTTGCTGCTTCTGCTTCTGCTTTGCCAGTGAATAAGCTCTCAGTACAAACATCTGCGGCTTCAAAAGTTGGGAAGGGGCAGAAATGGACTTTCCCGTCTGGGTCACTGATATTTTAGTAAGTGCAGTGCAGGCCGCTGGACACAGGCAGACAGCGCGTGTCCTTCGGGGGCTCCACGGGCACGCGGCTCCTACCTACCTGGTTGCAGGTGTTGATGTCCACGCCCCCCTTCAGGTATTCCACGACCTTGTCCAGGTTGCCGGCTCTGGCCGCGCGGAGGAAGCTGGCATTGCTGTCAGACTGAGAAGAGAGAAGGCCGTCAGTGAATTTGACAAGATAAGCACACCGAACACAGAAGGACAGAATGCTTGTGCTGAGTCTATGACGCTGAACCGTCAGCCTGGGGCGAGGCAGCAGCTCCAGGGTTTCCAGAGAGCTAAGACACGGGCGTCCCTGGGAACCACCGCGATGACAACACTGTCACTGCTTTGTCTTGAATCTTCAGCCACATCTGAAGAGGAATTTACCCCCAAATGCACCGCTAATGGTCATGTTAGCTTCAGGACGCTGGTGACTTTACACTAACCCTAATGTCAAGCTCCATCGGGAAAGTAAAGAAGCAGAGGGCTTCTTCTCTCGTCCTTACTGGCTGGATTTTGGCGAGTCCGGGGGAGAACGCTGAGAAGGGTCACTTGGCAGTCACCTGTCCTCCTTATCAGGGAAGCAGAGCTCCGAGGAGCTTGAGCAACGAGAGGAGCACCGGTTGGCAGGTGAGGCCTGGGCCCACGCAAATTCTGTGATCCCAGGAATTTTGGGAAAACAAGGTCAAAGAAATTTAAGCCGGCTGACATAATACCAGGCTAAAATCGCTGGATAACAATGCTGGCTCTTGGAGACGGCTTTGGAAGTCCTGACCGCCCCCTCACTGCTCTCCAAATCTGGTCCTGCGGGAATCCTGCATTTTCTGCACAAAACGCCCTGAGGGGGCAGCTGCACCCCTGGCTTCCGCCCTGCCTCTACACGCACAAAGCTGTGGCTGTCCTGCGGCCACTGCCCAGCTACAGAGGACCGGGAACAGGCCTCAGGGCATGGGTGTGTGGCCCTCGCCCAGCGTTCTCCCAGTGGCTACTAGACGGACGTGGCGGGGCTCTGGGCACCCTCGGGGTGACGTGAGAGAACTGCAGGTGTCTCCTCTGGGGGCCTCAGGTCCGGGCTCAGTGCACATGGGGAGGAAGCTCACTCACGTTTACCCAAATACCACAGCGGCCTAAGTACAGTCAGGGGTGACCCATGAAGGGTTGGGAGGGGTGGCTGCCATCACTGCGTCCGGGACACAGGCCGGCTCTCCTGAGCAGACCACGGCGTGGTCACCAACACAGAGTCCACCCCGGGATGGCTGTCCCCGCCTGGCCGCACAGTGGCGCGGTGCCCCAAGCACATGTGCGGTGATGATCTATGACGCGTCCTCCAAGGCCTGGTCTGTGACACTGCTGTGCAGCGCGTGGCCAGTGCTTAAGTCCTGGGAGGTTTCCGGCCTCCAGGCTTCTGGCCGAGGTGCTTAGAAGTGAGACAGAATCCTAGGAGTTATGCTGTGTCAGCATCTCACAGGAAACATGATTTAAAACAACAAAAGTTAAATAACAGGAGGTCATGACAGAAAGAATGACAATATTATTTCCCGTGTAGCTTTAAAAATAAATGTATGTACTGTGTAGAACTGTCTAATCACTGACACTAACATAATATCGTATGTCGACTATACTTTAAATTTAGAAACTGTTTACAAGACTGTGCCTAGAAAGGGCTTCCATCTCATGCCTGGGGCTTCATAACTCTAGGAGGGGACGTGTGCTGGGTGTTTAATGTGGGCGCAGAGCTGCGGAGGCTGTCCCCAGCACCTCAGCACTCACATGACACCACGGCAAAGGAACGATTCTTACACCCATTTAGTAGGGACGAGGGCGGGAGGGGGTTGGGTCTCCGAGGTCACGCCGCTGTTCAGTGTGATCCCAGGTCTCCAAGCTTGTCCCCTCTGCGACACTCCTGTCCCTGCACCTCACCGCAGCACACCTGGCCTGTGGCGCCTGAGCCTCAGCTGTGTTCCGTCTGTGGAACCACAGCATGGCCCAGCCCGCGTGTCCGCTCTAAGTCATAGCACCTGCTCAGCACAGAGCCTCAGCGGACAGAGCTCCTGGCTGATGTCCCTCTCGTCACCTGTACCAGCCATCTACGCACCAGGAAAAGCCGGAGCTGGTTCTAGACAAACTACTTAGAAACACATGCATCTGGGAGGAGGAGAGAGGTGGCAACACCGAGGTGGCTCACACCGCGTTAACAAGCCAGCTAACCGTCTCTCCGCTTGTGTCATCATATCAAACTCGGGAACCAAGGTCAGGCTCGCTCCACGGCTCCTGTGGAGGAGGAATGCCAGGACCAGGCAGGGCAGGCGGGAGGGAGGGACACGGGGAAGGACTGCGGAAGCTCGAGAGGCTACGGGCGTCCCTGCGGGGTACCCAGCACACCCCTCAGCACCTTCTCAGGGACCTGGAGTGACATCGAGGGCACTTCTGCTATTACATAACCACAAGTTTTCATAACTGCTTCTCTCTGTTCTGAATCAAATTTCTAAGAAGTAGAAGCAAGTGAAGGCTTGCAGCCAATCCCGAGAGTTTTAGCAGGTTGTCCCCAGTGCTCAGGCCGGGCCAGACCCAGGGGAGAGCCCCAGCGGAGCAGCCCCGCCAGGCCGTCCTCGCCACTGAGTCACAGCAGGCTTCGCTGTACGTTGGGGTCTTCTAGAACCCAGTTAAGAGACTTGGTTTTCCCCAAGTGAGAAGATGCATCATAAATGCATTTTGCAAATGCAAACAAATGAAAGTATTATAAAATGGTCCCAGAACAAAATTAAAATGAGACTTCTAAGTTTATGTGCAGATACTGACAGTAAACTAGTATTTCCCCCATGCATTTCCACACACGCATTCGCTCCACGACAACCAGGTCATCCTGGGATTACAGCTCTGCACACGAGCTTAGGATAAGCGGCCATCAGTCTCGTCACCTCAACCACACAGATGCACGGGGACTCGGGCTCACGCTGACACACAGCAGCTCTCACCAGGCTGTTTCCCACTGAGAGTGACACACACTAAGTGTGAGCAGGGGGAGGTGCTTTCAAACAGACTTGTCTCCAGGCTCGACCAGGAGGCTTGACACAGAACGCACAAAGAGCAGAAATGAAGCAACAGCAGATCCTGGGAAAGGCTGACAAACGCAGGACCAGCCAGCCCTGTGTGCTTCACCTCTGCGTCCCTCAGGCTCTCGGACCCCAAAACCCATCGTCCTCACACCCACCAGGTCCGACTCTGACAGGGACTCAGATACAAGCCCCACTAATGTCACTTAACATGCCCCCTTCACAACCCCAGGTGGCGTCTCAAACCAAGTGAGAAACGCTTCCTCTTAAGTTCTCCTCAACACAGTTGTGCATGTTTTTTGTACTTGACTGTTAGACAAACGGGGTGCTTTCTCAGCACCAGCGGGGTGGGCATGGAAGGTGGGGGGATGTGCATTCAGAAAGCCCCCCTTATCTCCCAAAGGAAGGCTTCCCCAAAATCCTGGCTACAGGTTTGTATAAGTCTGTGCTTAAATTTCAATAGTAACCTAACGAGGAAAGTGTAAGCTTGCCAGGCCACCTGGCTGGTCATCCCTTAAGTGAGTGCAACCACGTCGTTTGTTTGTAACTCAGCGTGTGACAAGTGACGTACAGGTGACGCACACACGTGCACAGTTTTGCCAGAGTGCAGAAGGTGGTCAGAAATCTGGTCATTGCACTGGCAGGATGGCACAGATGTGCTGAACCAGAAAACCCCCGCACGGCAGTCAGTGAGGACCGGCTCACAGTGCCCGCCCGCAGGGCGCGTGACAGAACAGGCCAAGTGTTCAGTCCCCAGTTTTCGCTCCAGCTGGGTTAGGGGCTCATGCTGACCTCTGACTTCATCTCCAAGTAAATAAGGAGCTTTAAATGATGGTCACCTGGCACGTGACTACAACTGATGTTAGCGCATTTCTCTGATAGCTTTGAGTTCCATTATTCTGAAACGGGAGACAAAGCCTTAACTGTAATAAAAATAACAACACGTTTTAATACTTTAATAAAGTGAGTGCGTTGCTGGAGTTTGGGACGCGGTCAGCAATATGGACCGGCTGGCAGTGTGGACCGGCCTGCAGTGTGGACCGGCCTGCAGTGTGGACC